GCACAACTATGTGTTTTGCCCCTTGCTAGTAATCTGAGCCGTTTTATTTATTATTCTGCATTTTAATACTTAAGCTGTGTGTACATGCAATGGAATGAAGTAAGGAAGCAAATGATGTAGCAAATGGATGTTTCTGTCTGCATCAGTGGGTAATTCACTCTTTCACTTGGTGTATTTAAAATGATTTTGTCATTTGTACTCTTGCAGCTTTCTTGCTTCTGGTTGTTTTTTAACTAAAAAAACCCCTAACACTAGCTTTACAAGTAAAATAATTTAATTTAAAGCTTTTTCTAGAGCATTGCACTCCTTTAGAATTATGTAGTTTGTAATTTGAATTTAGCTGGGAAACCCTTTCACTCTGGATTACGTGGCTGGTTATTGGTATTCAAGGGTTGACATTGTGCTTTAGGAGTTATTTTAAGATAATGACAGTTCGTAAAATCACGAAAACTAATTTTATGTTAATTTACAGAAGCACAGAGGACATTTTCTTCCTTTTTGTTAACAGTCAACTTTTAAGGTGCAAATCCCATCTCCTTTTTGTTGCAGATGAACTCAATGGTTGCCTCTGGCTTTGAAGGGCCACAATCACACTGCCCACGTTTTTGCATTGATCCTTTTTTTTTTTTTTCTGTTGTCCCATCAAGTATATTTACTTTTTGGCTTGATTTAAAGCTCTGTAAAGATGTTTGCATATAGTATATTTTATAAATATATTCTATAACTGCGCAGATTTGCACTTGATAAGAGGGTGCCTGAAGGCAGTGAGTTTTCTAGTTGTATGTAATTAGACCACCAAGGTGTCTCTAAAAAGTGACATTATGCTTGCTGATTTAAAATAAAATCCATTACCTTTATCTCTCCTATCTTCTGACAAATTAGTCAAATCTTAATTTACATAGTTCTGTTTCCTTAATAATCTGTGGTTCTTTTAGTTAAGTCTTAATTTCTGACAACATCTTCAGCCCAGATAAGCAATTCCCTCTACTGTCTGCCAGGTCTTCAGTTACACTTGGTCTGACTGAACTGTTCCTATTTTTACAGATTTAATGCTTCAGATAAATTTTGTATATTCGTGGTGTACAGGACAATTTTTCAAACATTCAGTAACAGTATTGAGTGAAGATGTGAAGTATGAAATAAAGAAACTTGGCCAATGTGGATTTCCTTTTCTTAAAAACAGTACAGACTACTCTTGTCTCTACTACCTGTTGTAGGGCGAATCGTTTATGTATTGCTGACACTTTTTATGAAGAGACATGCAGAAGTGGCAGTAAGAAATTACATTAATGCTTTATCTCTGCCTTCCCCTACGTAAGCTGTTTGACGTATCAACAGTTTTCTGTGCATGGTACTTAGAAATCCCACTTTCCTGGTGACATGACTGTTCCTTTGCAGAGCCTCTTGCTTTTTAAGCTATGTGCCATGGTTTTACATATGTGCAACTACACTGAAAAACTCTCTTTTCCTGTAAGCATAAGATTAAAAGATATTGACATATTCCTTTGTGCAAAGCAAAATATTCACAGCAAGAAGGCTTTTTTCCTCTAGGATCAGAGTTGGAGACTGGGACAACAAATAATTGCAAAGTACACAATTTACCTTTTTTTTTTTTTCAATTTGGTCATTCTTTACTCAAGACTTCTATTTTCTGATTTGTTTTGCATGTATTTATATTAATGTAGAAATATTTATATATGACATTGTTTCAGTATCAGGAAAATAATATCTGTAATAAATTGACTATAGCTTTAATATTTATGGATTATGTGTACAATCTAGAATGTATTGTGTGTTTGGGGAGAGGAAAAAACCGAAGAATTACAAACCCCCACAAAATTCCCAAACCTAAACCATTATAACAGAATACAAAACAAAGCTGAAAGCATCAAGTTAAGTATTTTTCATGTCGACATTCAATAAGTACTTTTTAAATGTTGTGTTTAGAATTTTGCTGAGCTGGTTCCCTCAAGCATTCACCTTGTTAATCACAAGCTGACAGAAATACCTGGATGTGCAACATCTGCAATTCCCTGGCTATAAATGTAAGATGATTATATTATTAGTGTCACTTGCTTCAATCAGCCAAACCTTTCCTGACCTCTACCAAAAATTCTAATCGTCTTTTTAGAGGATTGTTAAGTTACATTTTATAAAGGGATGAGGCTTGAGGTTCACATCAGTAGTTTTTTGCTCTGTTCATATTTGAAGCTAACATTTTTTCCTCTCCCCAGTCTGCAGTGAGGAGGCTCTTTCTTACTTTGCTGGAAGTATATAACCAAGGTAACAAACACCTGATGCCTTCTGACTTGTGCCAAGAGCCAGTGCTTCCCACAGCTCTCCAACTACTTCCTCTGTAATGTTATTGGGAATTTGTTGGCAGACATGAAGTGCTTGTGGATGCTCAGGCTGTTTATATTTTCAGCTCCTCTCTGGTTCTCTGCAGCTTCCTTCCATGTCACTCAAATTGGTCTTCAATGTTGATGACTAAGCAAGTCAATTTTGGCCCTTATTTCCCACTCTAGCACTGGGAACGACCCAGACGTGCAGTGTGTTCCTGCAGTATACAGGTCACTTCTTTTCCTGGGACAGTGGATATGACACATGCAGCCACAAAGACCCTTTTCTGTCCTTTCACATTTGACATGAAGTCCTACCAGCTCTCCTACTCCAGTCCTGGCATCTCCTTTTATTTTATGCTAAATGACTTGGTGTTTTGTTTAGAAGCTCTGTCGTGAAAATTTTCTCTATGACCTGAATGTGTAGAGAAGGTGGATGCTTAACCTACTGTGCAAGTAGCATTAAATCCCAGCTGTTTTCCTTTCAGGAAGATTAAATTGCAAAGGGAAGTTGCATCTCAAATCTCTTCACAGTAGTGTCATGTCATGATCAACTTGATTTTGCAATCTGCCTTCCTTCTGCCCCAGACTCTCCTCTGCTCCTTTCTGGGAATTGCCTTCAACAGGAAGTGTTGAAGGCAACTGTTGAGATTATTGATTATAGATGCATGACATGACAGTATGAAACAGTTTTGACTTGAATATGAGCCCTTGGGGAATTCCAGTTGTAACTGGCTGGTCTCCAACTGTTCATTGCTGCCCTTTGAGCCTGAAAATCCAGCCAGGATTCTGTCCACCTTGCAGTCTGCCAAATCTGCATCTCCTCAAATTGGTTACGAGGATGTTGTCTGAAATAATATTAAAAGTTTTTCTAAAGTAAGATATCTGCTGTACAGAGAAAGTACAGAGAAAGTTTGCTTCCGTACAGCAGCAAAATATACAGAGGGAGGCCACCTCTGGTAACAGCAAGAGATACTGGCTTCATCTTTGTGGGGCTTCTACAGGTCTTGTATTCTTAGTATTTTTGTATTGTGATCTATGTGAGTTGGGGTGAGCCAAGGCCATTACTTGGCCGATCTTGCATCATAGTGGGAGTGAGATGGTGCTTTTGATATCTTAACTGGCATTAAACAAAACCTTAGGGAGGCATCTACTTATCTACTATTAGCTGTTCAGTTCCTCAGCTCCTTATGGTGATTGAGCCAGAGCCCTGCTTGAGGCTGCATGGAGAAGATTGCAGACTTCATGGGAGCAACACTGGATTCAGTTACTACCAAGGCTGGTCAAATGCTTCCAGGTGCTCAAGGAGTGATGACAGCCAGGGTGCTGCCAACCACACCTCTTCGTGCACAGCTAACACGTGGCCATTTGTCTGTCTGCGTTCTCTGGGTGACTGGTTCAGGCTGTATGGAATGGCTTCTACATATCCTCAGGGACAGGCACACAGAAAGATTGCTTAGCTGTGATGGGAAGTCTTACAGACAAGTTGTCTTTAGGGAATTGTCTCTCCTTGGCATGAATTCTTTTTTTTTTCCTTTGTCTTTGGATTTGAGTGTTGAAGAACTGGAAGGAGTAGAGTTGACTTTTCCTTTTGGGCTATGCTCAGGTAAGGGTCAGAAGAGTTTTACAGGAAGAACCTTGCAAACAGGATGAAACAAGAAATCTCCATCTTTCAGTGCCTGATGGAAGTCATATGTGCATGAATAGTATAACTTCAGTTGTAGCTTCTAGTTGCAAGGCTTCACCTTGTTGGGGTGTCATTTGTTGGCCTGGCGAACCAGCAGTGACTGGTGGCAGGGCATCACTGTCAGCACGGGATAACTAAGTAGAACTGCCTGCTTGGCTGCTGGGATAGCAGCAAGAGCACACACTGCAGGCAGCTCTGGAGGCATGGCCGGGAGGAGGTGGAGCCTCCCTGCCCCTCCTTGCTGCCAGCCAGCAGTACTCGAGCAGTCTGGGGGGTGTGCTGTTTTGGAATTTTGAACGGTTGAGTCAGGGGCAAGGGAGAACTCCATGTCAGGGCATGGTTGTGGATCCCAGAGCTGTGCTTCTCAGGCAGTTGAGCAGCTTTTATCTGTAAGGGGCAGGAGGGGTTTCATTATTTTATTGCAAGGCTAATGGTCAGGAGAAATAGTGTTTCCTGACTCTGTTCTGGGAGGGTCATCTCACTGATGGCTCGTTCAGGGGTGACTTTTATGCAACAGTATTGAGCTAGTTTTGTTGATAATATTATTTTTCACCTTATATTAGTCAATATTACAGGCTGATAGAGGAATATAAGCTGCAGTAAAATAATTCAGGCATTTACCATGCAGGGCCCTGTGAATGCCACTTGCATTGTACCCCTCTGATCGTGTCAAGAGTGTTTTGATGCTTCTCAGTACCCTTGATCACCAGCTGGCCCTGAGGTAGCTGAGTGTTTATGATGACTCATGGAAACTCTGTACTAAAACATCCTCTCACTGCAGCTTGGGAGCCTATAGAGAAGGGCATGGTGATTTCATCTTCTTTAAATTCACTGTATCCACCCACATGCTTGTACCCAGAGGCACTAAGATGAGTGTGTCCAAGTGGTCTGGCCAGGACTGTGTGCTGCACAGGACAGGAGCAATGGCTGCTGAGTCCTCCCTATG